TTGTTACTTAAACCTTGTTTATTTGGCCCGTGTTAGCCTTTGAGTTTGACATGCTTGCCTTACAGAGAGACCTGGAGGCCCTGACCGGGGTTATATGGCTGCTGAGTGGAGGGACCCAGATCACCTGAAGCCAGGTCTACCCCCCTGGCTCCAACCCACGGCAAACAGCTGTCCCAGTGCATTGAAGAAGGGCAGCCACCTCCCTCCTCTTGGGGCCCCAGCCCTCACCATCATGGGCCAGCACAAGCCCTGCCACTTGTCGTTCAACTGCATGGCATCAGCAAAGAGGAAGAAGAGGGCCAGCAGGAACTCCAGGAGGGGCGCGGTGAGGAAGGCGGACGCTGTGGATGCCACGTAGCAGACAAAGATGATGAAGGAGAGGCCCTGGGTGGGTGGGAGGGGGACGTCAGAGCCTTTGCACAGCCCCTCACCCAGTGCCCCTAGGAGCCCCCGCCAGTCAGCAATAGAGGAGGCTCAGGAACGGAAGGCAATCTGCCCTCAGTTCTGCAGCTGCCAGGTTTAGCACCTGGTCATGTGGCCCAGCTCACACCTGTGATGCCCCCAGTGTTTCTGGGCATCGCCCTTAGTCCTGACCCCGTGCCAGCTCCTTGCCAGGACCCAATCAGGAAGTGCCAGCCTACTATGTGTGTCCAGCCACAGGAGGCCACCCTCTGGGGCTGCTCACTCCGCCCCCACCCCAGCAGGCTCTATGGCAGAATTCACCCGACCCAGATGATGTCCAACGGGCTAGTCAGACCTAAGCAGCCTCAAAGGCAGCCCACTCAGCAGGAGCCAATTTCAAAAATTCACTCCCAACACACAAGATCTGCACTTTCCACTGAATGCAATCTGCCTGAAGAACAGTAAAATCTTAAACTCAGTAATGACTCGGGGGCTGAAGTGTTTAGAGTTGAAATGTACTGATGTCTGCAGTTTACTCGAAATTCATTGCAAAACAAAATGGAGCCCGGCTGGTGTGGCTCAGTGGTTGAGCGTCGACCTATGACCGTGCGATTGAAACTTCGTGGCCCATGTGCAGAAGTCGGTATTTTGTGGAAGAGGCAGTATTTTGTGGAAGAGCCACGCTCAAGGGGCCAAAGAGCCGCATGTGGCTCGCGAGCCACGATTTGCCAAGCCGCAGTTTGCCGACCACTGAACTAGGAGGTCACGGTTCAATTCTTGATCAGGGAACATGCCCAGGTTGCGGGCTTAATCCCGTGTGGGGTGTGCAAGAGATGGCTGATCAATGATTCTCTCTCTTCATTGATATTCCTATCTCTATCTCCCTTCCTCTCTGAAATCAAAAAATATATATATATATATTTTTAAATGGATTGATAGATGGAGAGATATGTGATAAAGTAAATATAGCAATGTGTTAACTGTAGGTGGTAGATATATTAGTGTTAAGAGTATAACTCCTTTGACTTTTTAATATATTTGCAAATTTTACTACTAATAAGAAATAAACACCCAGGAGAGGAGTGTTGACACTGATGCCCCAGGTCCCGCTGGTCTCTGGGCGAGGAGCACTGAGGAACTAGAGTGAAAATGTTCTCTGCAGCCCTGTCCATGCAAATGTGTGGGAACTGATGCTGCCGGACACCGAGCCCCTAGTAGTTCTGCAGACTGTGTGTGCTGCAGAGCAGACCAAGGTGCTGGGGCGGTGCCCTGGGCCAGTGCCCGCTGAGGCTTGTGGGATCTCCTGGGATCCTCGCAACCGCCCATGTGCCAGGTGCTGCTTACAGCCCACTTTACAGACGGGAAGACTGAGGTTCTGAGAGGTAAAGTGATTGCTCAGTGTCATGCAGCTAATAAGAGGATACCAGGATTTTGGACTCAGGGCTGGCTTGACTGGCAGTGACTTTCTTAAGCAACCCTGCCCTGGGGGTGTTGGCTTTTATCTGGTTTCTGTCACGGTGTCTGGGTCTGAACATGTCTATGGCTGAGTAGCTCTGAGTGGGGCCCAGGGGGCCTTGCAGGGGACACCCAGAGGCCTCACAGGAAGCACTGAGGCTGCTTCAGACAAATGAGCTACAGAAATCCCAGGAAGTCCCCAGGGCACCCGCATCTGTACTGAACATGGTGGCCCTGGGGATGGCTGAGTCCAACGTGAACAGATGGTTACCCAGGGCACAGAGGCGGCCGGAAGACAAGGTGTGGGACCCGGACTCGGCCTGTCCACAGCTCCTGCTGTACTCCCTTGGCTGGGCTGTTCTTGTGTCCCTCTCCTTCCTGCCCTGCCCATACCCCCCCAAGCCTGACTGTGGAGATCCCCTCCAGGTTCCTGTTTCCTCATTCTCTGATTCCTAGTTGCCACTTCACCCCTTCCTGCCCCTGCCAGCCTCCCCACTTGCGTGGGCCTGGGGCAGACAGGGGTGACTACAGGAGTCACGAGTGCCCGGGAGCAGCTCCCTTTGCGACTTCAGTGCCCACCCTCACTCCCCCCCACGCCTGACACTCCCAGACAGATTCCTGACTCCCAGCTCTGCCCCGGGCCTCCTCTAAGCTCCGGCCAGCTACCCCTTGACTTATTTGGGGGGCCTGAGTGGGGTGGGTTTGGGGTCCCCTCGGTGGATGGTGGACTCAGGCTTCTCCCCGAAAGTAGCTCCCATGGATCTCTTGGGTGGGGCTGGAGTGGCCAACCAGGAGGCAACCCCTTGAAGTGAGGGCTGGGGGTCCTGCGGCCTCACTTGGGAGTTGGGCAGGTCCTGGGCTGACCTCCGGGCTGACCCCAGGCCCAGCAGAGGTGACAGGACCACAGTCTGCCTCCTGAAGCGGCGGCAGGATCCTCCTCCTCCTGACCCCATGCCCCTCGCGGCCCTTGCAGCTCCCGCCCTCACCTGTCAAACCCCTTAAGCTCCGGCCTCAGCGTTCTTGTCATCAAAGTGGGAATAAAGACAGAGGCCGAGTTGCTGGGGATCTAAGTAATCAGTGCCCCTCCCTCATCCCGCGTCCCCTCTGCCTGGTCTCTCCCTCCCCTTCCCTCCACGGAGGACCAGGCCCAGCCCCCAGCCCACCCGCGGCCAGTGCGGGGCTTTTCGCCGTGTCCCGAGGACAAAGGCCTGGCCGGCCCGGGCGGGGGGAGCGGGAAGGAAGAA